AAAATTGAAAAAATTTCCCTCGTTCCCCGTAAATGGGGGAAACCTCCAAAAAAATTACAAATTTAAAAATCGCTAATTTTCGAAATTTTTTCCATTTTTTTTACTAAAAACTGCCATAACTTTTTCAAAAATGAACATATCAATATAATTTTTTTTTATATAAATGCTTGATGTCTTTACCTATCATTTGGTATATTTTTTTTGTAAATCTGACACTTAACCTGCCCACAGGGGGGGATTTAAAATGACAACTTTTTCACAAAAAATTAACTTTTTCAACTTAACTTTTGAAAATGTTCCGGAAGGTCTGACACTTTTATATATATCTTAAATTAAAGCTAATGTAATATACTTTAATTTGAAAAAAAAAAATTTGACCTCTGGACTTGTCTTGTCTTTTTCATTTACCATACTTTATCTTTATCGAGATATTAATAAGGAACCAGCAGATCAAGTAGCTTTTGGAATAAAACACCAATTTTTTTAAAATTAAACACTATCTAAAGATTTGCATCGAAGCGTTTATTTTTGATAGTGATTTTAATCACTGTCAGATATCATTTACTTGATCCAACTATGCCACGTCACCACTGTGCCGCGACCCCCCTGTGCTGGGTTTTTTTTTAAAATAATTTTTTTTAAATGTTCTGGAATTTTTTCAATTTTTAATCAATATTAAAATAAATCTTTTGTTGAGAATATTTAAAAAAAAACGGTAGCATAGTTAAGTTGCGGCATAGTGTGGACGTGGCATAGTTGGGACAAATATAGATGATAAACGACAGTGATTTTATCACTATCATAAAAAACGCTTCAATGCAAATCTATAAATAGTGTTTAATTTAGAAAAATTGATGGATTATTCAAAAAGCAAAATGAACTCTTATTTCTTTATTTAATTCTAATTACAAGTTTTAAGATGTATGAGTGTAATATACGAATAAATATTTATTATAGATATTTAATGTAGTATGAAATTGATATTTAATAATTTAGAATTGTAATTTTTACGGAGAAATTATAAAAAATTATTAAGTAGATATTACTTTTATGGCAAGTATGTATAAAAGTTGAAGGGCTTGATGCAAAACTTTTTAGATAAAAATTTGTTCTTAATTCAGTATAAATAGACTGCAAAAATTTTTTATCAGAGTCAAAAATATACTTTAACTATTCAATTTTTCGTCCTAATATTATCAGCAATTATATACACCAAGAGTTGTAAAAAAATGGTTAGTAAGACTTTTATTTAAACAATTTGTTACAGTAAAACATTTTTAACGAAATTTTAAGTTTTCCTCATAAATTACTGTTAATAGTAATTAAATAAGTTTCTGATTTTCTATTTATTGATATAAATTGTAAAATTGAAAATTGGGCTAAAATTGTGTTTGAAAATTCAACATCTTGAAATTATAAACTTTCATAAAACTCAATTTAAAAAATCAAAAGATTAAGTTAAAAAAGTAATTTTGATTTGAAATTCTTCACTGATTATATTTAATGTATTAAAAATCAATAATTACTTGATAAAAAAATTTTTTTTTAGTTAATTTTTTCATGTGTTTCTAATAAGTAATAATATCAAAAAGTGGTAATTGAAAAAATAAAATTCATGGATATTAGTTAAAAATTTAAGATAGTTCAAAAATTCAAAGCAGCTTTTCCTATTTTTGAGGAGGCAAAATAAACAAAATTTATATTTATAAATTTATATTTAAATATAGATATAAATATAATAAAAATTGGTGGATTTATTACAAAGGCAAACCCTTATAAAGTATTTTAAAATAAATAAACAAAAAATAAAATTTGAACACAAAAATAGCATGTATTTTACTACAGTAGCTATTGCGCATAGAAGATAATTTTTGAGACAATTTTTTTATTTATAGTATTATATTATTATATTATAGTATTATATTTCTTATTTTATAGTACATGACATAAGCTTTATATTTGATATATGTTTAAAGGACGCAGTATTTCCGGAACGTTTTCAAAAGTTAAGTTGAAAAAAAGAGTTGCTATTATAAATCTCTCTCTATGAGCAGGTTAAGTGTTAGATTTTCAAAAATTTATATCAAATAAAAGAAAAATATATATGGATCAATTTAAAAAAAATTATTTTGATTTGTTTATTTTTCTATAAGTAATGGAAATTTTTAGAAAAAAAATGTTGAAATTTACCGATTTTTAAAATTGTAATTTTTTGGTTGATTTTCACTATCGAAATTGTTCCGACAGTAGATTTACTTTGAGAAGTCGGCTATCTAATTAAAAGTTTTTATATTCAATATAAGAGTTACTCTAATATTTGAGTCAAATTTGAAAACGTAGCAAGTATAAAATTACAAATATACAAATTATTGTGAAATTTAACAGATACACAAAAAGCGTGTTTTTATGATAATGATTAATAGTGATATTTATTAATGATTAATAATATCTGATAGAGATAAATCGCTATCAGATATTGCTATGCACAACGAACAAAGCAGTAACTCTCTTTTTCACACTTTTCAGGGGAATATAAATAAAATTTATTGTCTAAATACACCTTATATGATTATCAATTTTCAAAGTACTTTAATTTCGATTCTAACCAAATTTTTAATATTTTTATGAAAGTTAATATAAGAGTCAAATATAAATTAAAATACCTCATAATCACAGATTCAATTTCTTTGAGTTACTGCCTTATTCGATACGCATGGTGATATCATTTATACTTTTGCAAACTATACTTAATTCCCATTGTGCTTTTTTTTTTTTTATCAGTTATGCTAAAAATTGGAAATTTTAATAAAGCTTAATATTTTATACAATTTAGAATTTCATATAAAGCTAAATTTTTTAACTAGATTTATAATGTCTAAAATTGAGTAAAATTAAATTAATTAAAATATTAGAATAATTTTATAGATTCAAAATATTTAGAGATCCATATGACACTTCAAGTACAAACTATTTAATTTATATTTAACTAAAAACTACACTTTAAATAATTAAGTTTTGATTTGTTTTATTGCTATTATAACACACAAATTAATGTTAATTTTTTACATGTTTAAACTGTATTCTACTATAAAACATTTCACTGATAGTAAAAATGATAGTAAAAATCTATACAGTTAAATGTATGCAAATGTAACGTTTAAATTCTTATTAATATATTAATCAAAAATATTTAAGGTATATTTTTTTTCTCATAAAAAATAGTNATTATTATCTTAAGTTTACTTTTTGTAATTATTTAATGCGATAATGTTTTTTCATTAATTTAATTAAAATATATTTTTATTTATTAAATTACTATTCTTACTTCTAGTTATAATTTTTTTTGTATTTGTATTATTATTTAATATTATTTTACACATTTTTTTTTGTCACATCTGTAGCCACTTTTTCTCAACTATCATTAAACCAATTGTTTTCAAAAATAGTTCAAAAGATCACAAATTTTATGTAGTTGAAAATATTATCCTTAAAAAACATTTTTTCCTAAATATTACAATTTTTAAAATCGGTAAATTTCGACATTTGTATTATAATTTTTTTTTAACTGTTATAACTTTTTAAAAATTAACGAATTAAAATGATTTTTTTTTTAATAACCTAAGTATTTTCCTTTTATTAGTTAAATCTATTTTTTGAAAATCTTATTCATTAGCTGTTCATAGAGGGGGATTTAAAATAGCAACTTTCGCTTTTATTACTTGAATTTAACTTTTTCTACTTCACTTTTTTAAATTTTCCTGAAATACTCCGAATTCAAAAAATATGTTATAATAAATCTTATATGACTTACTGTAAGTTATATAAAAAAAAAATTCCGGACACTTTATCTTCGATATGCAAATTGCTACCGTATTAAAAAAAATATTTTTGTGTTGAAGTTTCTTTGTGCTGTCCTCATAAGTAGACCACTGATTCTGGTAGGAGTTTCGGCTACTCGGAGCACAATAAGTATTTTGCAAGAAAATTATTACATCAGAATCAGTGTAACAAAAATATATTAAAAATTTAATTAATAAAATCAGGAAAATTCAAAAAGAGTAAATATTAAATGTATAAGGTTGACGTTTGTTTACTAAGGTATTCACTTGGGGCGTATTTAATTTTTTTTACTTTGGTAAACATGCTTTAGAAATATTATTCATAAAAACCAAAATGATGATTAAAAAAAAGGTCATTAGAGCCATATTTCATTGAAGTCGATCAAAAAAATATTAATAGCGCTGGTTCAATGTGAAGAATTGCTCAAATCGAATATATCCCTCTTAAATACACCCCTAGTATACACAATAATATTCCATTAATAATCATTGAATTAATATTATAGAATAATTACAAAAAAATTTGACGGGTTATTATTTCTGGGACTATGTAAAAAAGTCAATATTAATATGAATATTGGTTACTGTGATTTGATATTTTACAGTATTGTTGTCATAGATGGATCCCAATTTTTACGATAAACACTTTGACTTATATATCTTATATAAGATAAATAAAATTATTAATACTGTAATGTTTTGATAATGTATGTATAAACTTATAACTGAGCTGAAATTAATTTTACTCGAATTAAAAGAGAAATGGTCTAATTTAAAAAAAAGACTTCTCTTCAAGCATAAGTTGAAGAAATTTGGTGATTAATGATATTTGAATCCAATCCCTTATATAGGTTATTTGGGATCGCGTCATGTTTCAAAGCGCAGTTATCGAGATTTAATTGCACATTGCCAAGTTGTAAAGGTTTTTCTGTCCTCACTTATACAAGAATTGAACTCTATAACTGATTATTTTCTTTTGTTTAAAGGAGCAGTTGGTGATGGCGGTGAATCGTCTGAGGATAAAGAAAAAAATGCAGAAGCTGAACGTGAACGATTGGAAGCTATCAGAGAAGCTGAAGAACGACGCAAAGAAAAACATCGCAAAATGGAAGAAGAGAGGGAAAAAATGAGACAAGAAATTCGTGATAAGGTAAAAAATAACTTTATTTTTATTTAATCAAATTTGTTATAGATATTTTTTACCGAATATTATATATTTTATGGACTAACAGGATTTGCAAACGTTTAAAGCCAATCAGTATTATTTTTGTTTTTTATTCCAACTCTAGCGTTTTACTCATTTTTTCACTTTATATGTAACTAATATAATATGGACAAATTAAATGAAAACAATTTAACTGAGTGCGCATTAGAGAACCAAAATTTCTCTAAAAATTGAAATTCCAAAAAAAATTTTTTTTCAGAAAAATGACTTGTATACATATAAAAGTATTCATTTTAATAGTTAATTAACATCATAATATAATTTTAATATTAATATTAATTATTTATAATTAAAATACATATAAAAATTGCCTAATATAATATGTTAAATAATTATGAAAAAAAAATTTATTTGGTAATTTTATTTTTTATATGTAACATTTTTAATAAAAAAAATACAGACAAATCTAATTAGGAAAATCTTCAATTTAAAAACAGAACTAACTACTTTTTTAATACAAAATAATAGAACATATGTATGATGGCACTTGTACTTGAGTAAAAAGTGTGGATAGTGTAACAGAAGGTTTTAGGGTAACAGTAGGAGTGCACCAAGATTCTGCTTTAAGCCCTTACTTATTTTCTATATTTATAGATGATATAACTAGAGAAATACAATATGAGGCGCGTGGTGTATGTTGTTCATTGTGATATAGTGTTAATAGGAAAAAATAGGAAGTAAATTTATCAAAGGCTAGAGGTGTAGAGATCAACTCACGAAGAAAGGTTTAAGAGTAAGTAGGACTAAGACAGAGTATATAGAGTACGAGTTTATGAATGTTGAAGGAAGAAGAAGTAGAGGAAAACCAAAAAAAAGATAGATGGATATTATTGAATGTGATATGAAGACGGTTGATGTGAGCGTAGATGATGTGGGAGATTGTATCAAGTAGAAGTTTAGGATAAGGGTTGCCAACCCCTAGTAGTTAAGATAAAGACGAAGAAAAAGAAGAAGATTGTTCCTATTTATAAATAGTTGCAACTGCAATATTACTTCATAATGATTTTTTTAATTTTATTACAATTTTTTTCATAATATCTTCTTTTTTTTCTCGCCTTTATGTCAACTACCTAGGGTCGGCTACCCTTAACCTAAACTTCCACTTAATACGTTCTCCCCCATTATCTATGCATGCATCAGCCGTTCTCATATCACATTCAATAACATCCCTGCATAACTGTTATTACAGCTTTTATTTCCTCTCTCCTTATAACATGACCAAATCATCTTACCTGAATATATTATTTTATAACTCTCACCTATTTCCCTTGCTTTCTCTCATTCCCACTTCTTCACTCATTCTCACTTGTTTCCTGAAAACATTTAACGTTAACTTTCTCTTCTTCAATACTTCTACTAATTCTCTACTTCTACCAGTTAATGTTTCTATATTCCGTGTAGCTATTCTTACTTTGTATCTATCTTTCTCCCTTATACACAAGTGCAGCCTAGAGTTGAATTAAGATGTCCGTATACCGTTGGATTGGCCTATACACATGACTGGTAAAATAGCTACCGCACAAATTGTCCGGCTGATGTCAAACACTTTATTTAATCTGTCTCTAGCTACTTTATATCCTCTCAGCTATTGTTCCCACGTACATCTGAGATGGAAAAATCCGTATAAGTTCTGTTCAGGACACCTCATACTTTTTGACAAAATTTTACACCGTCTATTGACCAGACGCAATCTCAGTATTGGTAGTTGACAAGAAAATAGAGCAGATTTCAATGCTTAGATAGATTATTGGAGTAACTAGAGATTATAGGTGTAGTATCAATCGCGGATAAGATGAGAGAAAATAGACTTAGATGATTTGGTCATGTTATGAGAGAGGAGTCGTAAGCTAGAAGAACAGTTATAGAATTAATGTAGAAAGAAAAAGAGGTAGAAGAAGGCCAAAAAAAATATGGAGGTTGTTATTGAATGCTATATGAGAACGACTAATGTGGGAAATCGTGTCAAGTGGAAATTTAGAATAATACTCCACATAGTAAGAATAAAGGCGAGGTTTACGTATACATGATGATAATGGTTTATTTACTTTATGTAATTTGTTTGACATAAACATTTTGTATGAAACACTTAACAAAAATTTTTAAAAAGACTTTTTCTCATCTTTTAATAAATGTACGGAGTGTTCCGTCAGGTTTTGACTTATTTAATAACCTTTGATATAGATTGATAATTTTAATTTTGGACAATGTTAAAAGCATATTTTTTATTAATTGTTTCTAATAACGTATCGTGACTTAATGTGTAGGTACCGGGATTTGATTCTGTTGCCTTTGGTAATGTACAATTTGCTGTCCTCTCTAGCATAAGTAATAGCTTTTAGAGATCAAGTTACACATAAAAAAAAATTCAATTGATATTATAAAATAAACATTTAAATAGTATAAAGATACTTCTAGTATACTGAGAATATTTATCTATTGTTGTGCTATTGTGGTTCAAATTGACTCTAGTAGGGAGTCCTTCTATTTAATGTGACTCTCTAATGGGGTCAGATTGAAACACTGCAGCCAATATCTTCAAGTTGCTGTACAATGTATATAAATTAGTACATTCTATATAAATTAATGACATTTTTTATTTACAAAGTTATACTTTGAAATGTTTTTTTTATCCAATTTTTTTTTTTATCTTAACAATTAATTAAATTATTTAATAAAATTATATTTGTATATTATTTGCATTTGTTATCTTTAATTTTGGTATATATATTGAACATTTTTAACTCTATACTCACACGTGTTTACAATTTAGATTTGGATAGAGATGCAATATCATATTATGTGATTTAATTACTGAATTTCCATTTGAAGTCAAAATATTACACTTAGAGATGTGAATAATTTAGAGGATTTAGGTCATAATAGCGATAGTTGGAGACAATTGGTTGTTGCAGCATTAGGCCTAAATGGTCTGTAAAGTAATAAAAAAAAACCCAGCACAGTGGGGTCGCGGCACAGTGGTGACGTAGCATAGTTGGATCAAGTATAATGATATCAGACAGTGATTAAAATCACTATAAAAAAAAAAACACTTCGATGCAAATCTTTAGATAGTGTTTCATTTTAAAAAATTGGTGGATTATTCCAAAAGCTACATGATCTGCCAGTTCCTTATTAATATTCTGAGTAAGATAAATTATCTCGAATGAAAAAGAGATTATTAAAAAATAATATTTCTCATAAAAAAATTGTGTCTATCCATACATTTTTCAATAAGTTATAGCATTATAAAGTTAAATATTATATAAATAATAAAATCGAGAATTNAAAGTTATAGCATTATAAAGTTAATAATACAAAAAAGAATTTTTTACAAAAATCGTATTTTTTTTTATTAATTTTGATGTCTGTTTTCACCGTGAAGATAAAATGAAGTCCGAAATTTTTTTTTTCCATAATAAAGTACATTAAATTTAAGATATATATAAAAGTGTCAGACTTTCCGGAACACTTTCATAAGTTAAGTTGAAAAAGTTAATTTTTGTGAAGAAATTGTCATTTTAAATCCCCCCCTGTGGCCATGATGGTCAGATTTATAAAAAAATATACCAAATAAAAGGTAATGATATCATGTATCTATATAAAAAAATTATATTGATTTGGTTATTTTTAAAAATGTTATGGCAATTTTAAGTTAAAAAATGCCGAAAATTAGCGATTTTTAAATTTGTAAATTTTTTTTGGAGGTTTCCTCCATTTACCGGGAACGAGGGAAATTTTTTCAATTTTTGAGGGTAATGTCTTCGACTAGGTACGATTTGTGATCTTTTAACGTATCGTTAAAAGAAATCGATTCGGTGAGAGCTGAGAAAAAGAATAATAGACACACAAAAAAAAAAAAAAAAAATACATCATAGTAAAACCATTTTTAGCTTCGCATCGAAGCTAAAAATAAAATAATACAAAAAATTATGTAATTAAGATAATAACTGATGAATAACAACTCTTGACCACTATTTTTGAATTTATTGACAATTTAAAGTTATAACTGAAAGAAAGGGAGTGGGTGTTGCTATTTTTATTGCAAGAAATTTCTGGGTCTCACATTTCCTCCGGCTGCGATATAAAATTGTTAAGAATTTTTTGATACCTGATCCTAAAGTTATGATGGATCAGTAATTTTCTTGATTTGATTGATTCTTGATTATCTATTAAAAAAGCTAGTTAATTATGCATTTTGATATTTGAAAAAATAAAGTTGACACTCTTATAAGCTATGGGGGATATACGTAAAAAAGTACTATATGATTTTTTAATTAAAAATTACATGAATAAAAAATAAACTCAATAAGAAAAATGCTCAATTATTTTTATTATTTTATTAATTAAGTGACTAATAATAGACGAATCATTTTATAAAAAAAAAAATGTATAAGTAAAAATTACTATATTTTATTAAGTTGGGTTAATTATTCAATAAAAATTATTGCAAATAGGATTTTGACAAATTAGAACGAATTCCAAAGATGTATTAATATATAAAGTAATAAGGCAAATCCTCCCAAAAGAATAAATAAATAATTTTCTATTTTGAAACTTATTTATACACATTTGCATGCGATTTATGATAGTGATGTTGTTAATTACTGTCAGATTTTAATCTATATTGTTGTGTACTATTATTAAATATTAATTCAAATCATTTTCAGGTCAACTAAATTAAAAGATGTTTGAAATTTTAAGTCAATGCTGGATTCCTCAGTATACTTAAGAATCTAATGTTTAAGGCAGTTATTTATTAAAGGGCTGCTGACTCTCAATGGAGAAAAATAATTTGTTTTTTATATACAACTAGAAATGACAAAAAATGCTACCAATTAATATAAAATGTTTTTAGACTAACGATTAGGACTGTTAGTGCGAGTCATTATATTTATATACTATTGCATCTTTTTCTTTTGGCACATTGGATAAAATCAGTTTATGAAAAAAATAATTCTGTGACTCATATCTAATGAAAATATATGTTCATTATATATATATATATACATGATATACAAGTACCATACAAGTGATAAATATGATATGTCACAAAATATAAATAATATAAATTAATATTTGCATGTGCAAAAAATTACGAGTCAATTATTTTTTATAATGCGTAAATCAAACATTATATTTGATATTACAATTTATTTTTACAGATAATAACACCACTAGGTAAATATATTGACTAATCAAGGAATGGTTATTATTAAAATCATGTATATCCTATTTATTTCACGTTAATTTTTTTTGGATATCTTATTGGTAATAGGTAATTAATGGCTTTAAACTTATTCTCCTAAAAGCAAAGTTTTTAAGTATTCATAAACCTCAATTTTATTTAAATAATTTCTTAATACATAACATATTTAAATATCAATATCCTAGTAAAGTTGAGAGTAAAATGTAAACTATTCTTAGGTAAATCATAGCACACAGCATTATTTATTATTATGTGTGATAGTTTTCCTGGTGTCTGTATACCTGAATAATTTATCATCTAGCTAATTTTTTTACACTTGTTATAAACATTTTTCTTACAACAGTCTAAGAATGCAAACATTGGTAGGCTATATACATTTTAAATGTTTATACATTTTCTTTTTCAGTACAACATTAAAAAAAAAGAAGAATTACCAGATCCGACTCAAGAAGAAACTTCAAATCCTTTGATGCGCAAAAAAAAAACACCTGAAGAATTAGCAAAAGAGGCGGAAATGGAAGAAGAAGATGAATTCACAAGTAATAATTATATTATACTTATATATTATATTGAAAAATAATGATTTTAAGATTTATTTATCTATTTATGTTTAACATTTTTAAACAATATTTTTAAAAACTATTGTAACTATTGTGCCAGAGAGGATATGAAAACCTACATAGCTTAGCCAACGGAACGAATCTCGATGCTTAAATATCGAGGAACGATGTTTTCTCGACTACACTATGTAGGCAGTATAATTACTCTTTCGTTAATCCTTTCGGTTAATATATTATTATAAAAAATACATTGCCACAGCTACGTATAAAAAACAGTCGAGTAAAAAAAATCAATCATTAGTCATTACGTATCCCGTAAGTTTTGAGCATTACAGTTTTTTCGTTATAAAATTCCATTACTAATTTCGCATTTTTCTGAGTTAGATTTTGCCACAAAACCATATTACATCCTACACTATAGTAAAGAACGTCAATCCAAAAAATGTATTTTTTGTGTAAAAACCACAGTTTATTGTGTTGTTATTTTGATACTTATAACTGTCATAACTATTTTCAAAATAGATTTTCGGGATATACATTTTTTGTAAATCTAACCATTAATCAGACCACATAGGAAGATTTAAAGTAGCAAGTTTTGCATAAAAATTAAATTTTTTCAACTTAAGTTTTGAAACTACAATTTCAAACATGTGTTAAATTAAAACTTATATTACATAACATATGTTTAGACAATTGTCCCGACGACTTATCTTCTATATGTAAAAAAGTCATTCTTATAATTTTATTATATTATAATAAACTATTTAGACTTTTATACTTTATATTTTCAACTTTAAATTGTTATACATTTTTGAAAAATGTATGGATTAACATAATTTTTTTTTTTAAATACTTGTATATAATATAAATATTATAAAACTTATATAAATACTGTATATATCCCATTCATGCAAAATACTTTTTTTAACTAACACCATTTCTTATTATACATTATAAAACTTAAAATGTATTAAAAATATTAAAGAAATACAGGTTTATCTTAACTCTGGTTAAAATTTTTTTTTTAATATTTATAAAAAAAAAGTTCTATTTCTAGAGCCCATTTTTTTAAAAAGAAGTTAATACAATTTTTGCATTTTTTTCTTTTCTTCATAACATGGACTATCATTTTATATTGTTAAATATACACAAAAATAATATAAAATTTTAAAATTTTTAGAAATTTAACTTCAAAAAATTAATACGAGACTTCGGTATCAAATGTTTTTTTAAGATTTATCCTAAAAAATGGTTATTTTGAAATTCTTTAAACATTTAATTTAATTGTTACGAATTTTATTCTTTTTCATAAATTAATAATATATTAAATATTATGTTAAAATTGTAGACTAAAAGTTTAACAATTATTCAAAAAAGAAAATAACGTAAAATATTTACTAAATAAAAAATTATTGAATTAGTCGTATCTTCGTGACTTATTCTATATATTGATGTCTATTATTCTAAGTCATCTTATGCCAGATACCGACTATATTATTTTTTTCCCAGCATTAAGGAATGAATACAGACATACTTTGAGGATTAAATTTTACTTCAATTTAAAATACTATCTCCCTAAAAAAATATTATGTGTTATATTTTTGTTTTTAAAAAGAATACAATATTTTTACAGAGTTCAAAAATACTATTGAAACACAAGTGAATGAACTAAAATCACAAATTGAAAGCAAATGCAGTTTGCAATGATTTATCTTCAATTTTTTTATGGAGGTTAGTTACAAAAGTAAATTTGTTGAAATTTAATGAAAAATTACATGTAATGTGGTTTAATTACATTACATAATGTAGAGTGTTATTATCTAAACAAAAAAAAAAGTTTTACATAGAATATAAATTATTATTATTGTTGTTGTTGTTATTGTATTACATTTCTAAAAGTTAAATTAGATATTTGGAATTACAAATAATGTTATCTTAGTATAATATTGTTATAAATTATATTATTAAACATATGTTAGATACTTATTTCAAATTTTTTTAAAATTCTTTTTAAAACACAATTAAAATTTGTTGTATTTTTCATATTTTTTAAGTGTAAAATTGAAAACAAGTATATAATACTTGGACAATTTCATTACAATTTTAAATTTTCTTAAACAGTCCCATTGCTAATTAAAAGTTTGTATGGTTATTTATATTAACAAAAATTTTGTTTTCTGTTTTTAACCAAACAATGACAATAAGATGTTTTAAAGTATTTTTTATATTGTCATTTTTTTTTCTATAAACAAAAATTCCAAAATTATAATTATTATTTGTAGTATTAAAGTATATTTTTATTATTTATGTTTTAATTAAGTTTATATGATTATTTATTTTTGTAAAATTAAGGGGTTTGCTCTAGTCAACCTGTTTGTCAATTATATAGAATTTTTTTAAATTTAAATATTTTTGCAAAGTGTTTGAAAAAATATTTACATAAACAGAACTGGATCAAATAGGAAACAAGTCTTCTAATATATTTCATAGTATTTTTTGAGGGACTCTAATATAGAATATTTGGATTCACGTAAATTAAACTTCATGAAATCCCGCAGCATCTACAAAATATACTGTATTTCTGCATAGATTAACAAGTAATTACACTACTTATATGACATTACATTATTAAATTAACAGATGGGATAATGCTTACAGTTATTGACATCTTAAAATAAATCTTTAAGATTGAATCAGTATTTTTATTATGACACCTTAGTTGAATATTTCTTTCAAGTTTTTTTTAATTAAAAATTTTTATTATAATTCAAATGCACTTATCAAAGTTTGTATAATTTCAATTCTTTTTTTTTTTGTAATAATAGTTTTTAAAATTTTTTTTAATGATATAATTAGTGGTTCCTTGAGTTTTTCAATTACAATTGTTAATAATTAGTGTTCAATTCTGATAGTAATTAGTAATATTTTTTAATTAAATATAGTATTTTTCAAAGTTGAAACAAGTAAAAAATGAAATAATTAGTGAATATATAAAAAATATTGTCTAATTATACTAAATTATTTCAAAATCTATTATAGCTTTATTTATCAATAAAATTGTTAAAAGTGTACCAATAACTATACAATTTAATCTACATTCATCTTCATATAAATTTCCTGAATGTACATTGATTTTTTTTCATTATTTTTTAAATCCAATTATTTAATAATTGAAATCACGCCAATAGGATGTAAACATTTGTGTCAAAAAAATTGAACTACCAACCTAAAAAACTATCTTTTTTAGAGGATACATTAAAGGGTACAGCAAAATTTTTTGTTAAAGGGTAGCCTTGGGTTTTCATATGACTATTATAATAATTTCATATCTAGTAACTACAATATTTATCTATGTGTATGATTTCTCAGAATAATAAAATACTATATTTACATAAATGTTAACGTTGAATTTTTAAAGTAATATTTGATGTAACAAAATAAATAATCATTCTTTATTATTATTATTTTATATATATGGTAGATTTAAGTTAAACTCAAATATAATATTTGCTTATTGAATTTGTACTTTTATTTAAATTTCATTAGCATAAGTTGTGTAGATTTTTATTAGTTTGTTAATGCTAAGTTTTCTTGATAATTTTAATTTTTTCCTTTAATTAAATTTCATAAAGAAATTAATTATAATTAAAGTTTACAGACCTTTAATTTTAAAATCATAATATTTTATTTTATAATCAATTATTAATGAAATACTGTGAGCTCAAAATACCTTATTAAGTTATTTTAACTTATATCTCCAGCAGTATAATCATTTATTTAAGTTAATGTAATAAAATATATCTATTTCTTCGCTTTTTATTTTGTATATAAAATAAAAATAGTTACGTAATAACAATAAACTTCTTTAAAAATTCTAAACATTATCACTAATAAACATGATTAATGTTAAACCGTATATCTAAAAATAATTCCAAGAAATATTTAGATAAGTTGTTGCTATATAAAATCCAAAATGATAGACTATTTAAATCGTCCTTATTATTTTACTATAATTTTTTAATATTTATTTTGTAAAAAAAAATTAAATCGTCTAGTTTACAAATATCATTTCAAATTACTTTTATAAATTATGACTATTTAATAATGTAAATGGACCAAAATATATTATTATTAAATGTTATTTGACAACAAATTATTAATTAATGAATACAATTTTTGATTAAGTGTATTAAAGTAAGCCTGATAATAGTGTAAATTATTAAACATTTTTAGATAGTATAGTTTTACTAAGAGAAAAAATACACAAATATACATTTACTAAGGCATTTATAATTCTATGTTACTGTTTAAATCATTATTGTAATTAAAATGAAAATCATAGTATAACTTTGATAATACTGATACTAATTAAAACTATTAGTTATCATATATTTAAGTGTATTAAATTCAGTTTCAATTCTGGATTCTAAATTAATAAAAATTACTTATCTGTAAATTATCCATCCGTTTAATTTCTCAATTAAATTATTATCCTAAAAAAACTGAATCTAATATATAATTATTTATTTCAGTAATATTTTATGAGCTCAAATAAAAAATATGGGTGGTAAACTTTTTTATTCATAAAACTTAATTTTTTTAATAGGTACATTTAATAAGCTTTTATTAATATTTAGTTAAAATTATTTAAATTTGTCCCTCTTTATAATCCTCAATAAAAAAAAATATTAATTAAATTTTTTAAAAATGTATTTGTAGCTTTTTGTTATCTGAGTTTTAAATATTTTAAATTATTTACATACCTATTAAACCATTATAATCACTAATTTCATATTTGTACTTAGTTTACTTTAAAGCTTCATACTAAAACTTATTGTTCTTAATTTTTTCATACATATTAATATTTCATTTCTTAATATTATTTAGTAACCTATAAAATGTTTATAGTTATACCACACTTCAGGTATATTTCGCTTGTCCTTATGGTTATTTATTTATTGTGGACGTTTACAACTTCATCTTCAACATTGTTGATCATTTATTATACTGATTTCAAATTAATTATTCTCATTAATTAAATAAAAACTAAATTAATTACCTTTCTTTATAATCTCTAACTATAAATCATTTTTATATTGTTTTAAAATCAGGCTGTGACTTTTCGGAAGAAATAATAATTTATGTTTGTCATTGTTTATAATTTTAATACCAATGTATTATTCACCAATTGTGTAACACGTAATTTCATAGACTGCTCAAAATTATCTAAATTATTATTAGAAAATTATTAATTAAAATTAATTTGTACTTAATGTATATTGAATTTATGTATAATAGTATCGTTTAAAACACAGAAATGGTTATTTAATATAAATCGTACAACAAAATTAAAAATGTTTATTATTAATTGAAATAATAATACAAAGAAATTCTGATCCACACGATCCACAATAATTTAAAAAAAAAAACATGCGGAATTAATGTACAATTTAATATAGCTTAATGTAGTCGTAAATTGTGATTAATTTGTAAAAAGGTATTTTGCCGTTAAGTTGTTAAAGTTAGATGTTGTTTCTTAGATGGATAAATTATAATTTTAAGTGTTCAATGTTATTATAAATATATAGCTTTAAAAAATCTTAGTCGAGTAAATAATTAATATTTTGAAATAATAACAATTTGACAGCCATAGTTGCTTAATTTATCATATATATATATATATATATAATACAGGAGGAACAGAACTAACTCACCAATTGGATTGAAAAAAAAATTTGAAATGCTGATAATAATTTTAGGGTGAGTAGTTATAAAGTTATAAGAATTGTAATACATAAGGAGTTAGTTAAATTCATTCCTCGCTATTTGTATATATATATATATTTATAAAAGTAATAAATGATTTTCATTCATGTTAAACATTCATGTATAACTTATGATTAGTCTGTTGATTGTTTTATAGATATTTAAAAATGTGTATGAACTAAATTAAAAGATTGTTTTAAATAGCGTTGTTATTTAATTATAATAAATTTTATTTCACGTTGTTATTCCTTTAAGAATTGTCCTACTTTTTTGATTATTTTTTTTTATACAGAATGGACCACCACTCACTGACAACTTAAATAACTTTTGATCCAGTTAATATTTTTAGTTGTTTTTTTTTTTAAATAATAGTTATACGTTAGGTCTATAGCTATATCTCAATAATTAATTTTTTTACATTTTATTAAAAATATTATTTATTTTTAAATTTTAAATAAAATGTAAAAAAAAAATCTAAGATAGCTATTTTGTAGAGTAGAATTTAAGAAAAATTTTAGTAAAAAAATATCTTATTAATATTCAGTAGTAAATATTCTGTAGCGTTTTGAAGTTTGTGAAAATTTGAATTTTCATGTACTATTTTACGGTATTAAACATTGAAATACGTATTGAGAAAAGGACAGAAGAAAACGCTATCTTTTCAATATACTTTTGAATGAGAGTGATAAGTAATAATTGCCTTATCTAATTTCTTATCATGGTATTAATGCCAAGTTTGTAATGTATACACATTATCATCATATGTATACACAGTAATCATGAAAAGATAGCGTTTTCTTCTGTCCTTTTCTCAATACGTATTTCAATGTTTAATACCGTAAAATAGTACATGAAAATTCAAATTTTCACAAACTTCAAAACGCTACAGAATATTTACTACTGAATATTAATAAGATATTTTTTTACTAAAATTTTTCTTAAATTCTACTCTACAAAATAGCTATCTTAGATTTTTTTTTTACATTTTATTTAAAATTTAAAAATAATTAATATTTTTAATAAAATGTAAAAAAATTAATTATTGAGATATAGCTATAGACCTAACGTATAACTATTATTTAAAAAAAAAATCAACTAAAAATATTAACTGGATCAAAAGTTATTTAAGTTGTCAGTGAGTGGTGGGCCACTCTGTATGATAGTTTAAAAAACCTTTTATACCATTACAAGTTGTAAATGAATTTAATTTACTAAAAAAAGGTATTATAGTAACTCAAAAAAAGAAAAACATATATAAGAAAGTGAGTTACTAATTGTTTATTTGATATAATATCATTTGCGGTATGAGTACGAGGATTTATGAGAATAATGAGTTCTTTATTTATTAATATTAAAATTATCATGTTCTGTAATATCAATAATGCCACAAGTACCGGCAGTTATCAATGATCGGTGGGATGGAGTTACAGAATGTGTTTACTCAGAGTAGTATTGTGGCTGTATATAAATCTCCAATTCGTCTCCTGGCATAGACATACATTATCTAACTCTACTAATTAGCCCCATAAAAATATCACTGATTTACTTTAATTAATATTTTACTTTTAGTGATCACTTCATCTTTTTTTGTCCTTACTGAAATATGAACTCAAAACAAATGATTAATTTTAAACCTTCTCATTTTAATTAATATTATTACCAACCTTGATGTTCCCAGTGCAAACAGTAAGTTTAATTTTCTACCCTTTTGTGATAGATATTGGAGGTCATGTATATATGTTGTATATTAATAATTACAATTATTGTAATTATCCATTGATATATGTACATATCAATCATGATCAGACTTTCAATAATAATTTAAATCTTGTTCGAAACTAACAAGGTATTAATTTTACTATGATATGTTTTTTTTTTTTTTATTAATTTTTTTTTTATATCTGTGAACGCTCAATCTCAGCTCTCGCTGGACCGATTTTGATGAACAATATGTCAAAAGATCACAAATAGTATCTAGTCAAAGATATAACCCTCAAAAATTGAAAAAAATTATCTCGTTCCCCATAAACAGGGGAAATTCCCCAAAAAATAACAAATGTAAATATCGCTAATTTTCGACATTTTTTCAATTTTTTTTACTTAAAATTATCATAACTTTTTTCAAAGTGACCGAATCCATATAATTTTTTTTTTATAGACCTTAGGTATTTACCTATCATTTTATATACTTTTGTGAAAATTTGACTTTTTACCAGCCCACAGGAAGGGTTTCAAAATGTTACTTTTTCAACTTAGCTTTTGAAAATGTTCCGGAAAGACTGACACTTTTACATATACCTTAAATTAAAGCTTATGTAATATACTTTATTTTGAAAAAATAAAATTTGACCTCTGGACTTGCCTTCATGGTAAAAATGACTACCATATTCAAAAATATGCTATTTTTGTGTTAAAATTCTGGGTTTTGTATTTTACATTATTTTAAAATACCTGACAAGGGGAGTACACTGATTTGCATAAATATTATATAAATAATATTGATATAGCATAGAAAGCTAAACTTATTTAAATTTTTTTTGCTTTTTTGAAGTCGAGAAAAAAATTTTTGAAATTTGAACTAGCTTAAATAGCAATTTTTTTCAGTTGAGTGTAGCGATGTACGGTTCCCGAGTCTGGGGTACAAAGTTACAACCCGTGTATGGCAAGGAATTTTTCGCATTTTTTCATAATTCTTTTTAAGTTAGAATAAATTTTCAACTCCTTTGATTTTTATCTCAATTAGATTCAATAACTTCAATAAAGATCAAGGATTCCATCACTGTAGTCGCCACTCGCGAGAAGAAATTTCTTATTCATATTAAAATTATTTTATTATATTTTATGTTTTAGCTTAGATGCAAAGCTGAGAAGATATTTTTCTGTGACTATCATTTATTTTGTCTGCTCTAACTTGACCTACTTTTTTCAACGATACGTCAAATGACTACAATTCGTATCTAGTTTGAAGATATTACCCTCAAAAATTGAACAAAAATTCGAATCTATCAATAAAACAGTTACTTGTTCCATGTTCTCCATACAGACTATTAAAATCATTCATTTCTAATGTTTTGAAAGTATTTATTGACGAATCAAGTTTGACATGATAATTTGATATGATAGGTTTCAACTACAAAATTAAATCATTTTACATTGTAATTTCATAATTCTTTACTCAATTTGTGTGTGCTACTATTAGATTATAATATTCCAAATTTTTTGTTAACATGTTATATAATTCATTTCTAAAAATAAATGATTGTTAGTTTCTCCTGAATTAATAATGGATTTTTACAATTAAAATCAAATTTTATAATACGCTCAATTGAGAAAATTTTTTTAACAACTTGTTTTGATTGATTCTTTTAGTTAAAGTAAACCATTAAAATTAATGAACTTTTGAATATTTCAATTGTAGAATCTTTTTAAACACCAAAAGTTATTAGGAAATGATTACTATTATTTTTATTTCAATTATCTATTACGATAAACATTTAAAAAAATATTGAGTTTTTCTGATAAATTTACTATAAATAGTAATTATAAAATTTCCTGACTGCATATTAATCTTAACAATACAACTTTTTTAATTCTTATACATTTTTTTATTTAATGATGTCAATGTCAAACTTACCAATTGAGCTAAAAGTTATGGTAAAATAAATTTTATTTTTTTATAATAAACATTTACAACAATCAACTTTAAACGATTAAAAAATTAGGTGAAATATATCATTTTCCTTATTTTTAACATATAAATAATCAAAATCAGTATTAATTAAAAATAATTTTTTTTTTTGTTCTTAATTATTTTTTTTTTATATGTAAATACTTATTTTAAATAATAAGTAATAACTTTAAAACTTAGAAGTGATAGAAAAAGTTTAATTTCATATTTGAAAACATCATGAAAAGTTAATTTAGAAAAGTAAATTTTTGTTTCTGATGAAAGTTCCTTGTAGTCCAGTATATAAAACTTATAACTTTATTATAAGTAATAAAAATTTTTTATCAAAAAGTATTGCGTAAAACTCTTTAAATTTTTACACGCGTTAAAAGTAAAGAAATATACTACTACTTTATTATTTTTATAATATCTTCGTAAAAATTACAATATTAAATTATTGAATATCAATTTCATACTAAATTTAATTACTAAAATTGTTATTTATTTATATATAATAATAATATATCAAATAACTAATCGGGATAAAATTAAGGGAATAAGAGTTATTGTTGTTTTTGAAATAATCTACCGATTTCTTAAAATTAAACACTATCTACAGATTTGCACCGAAGCGTTTCTTATAATAGTGAGTTTAATCACTGTCAGATATCATGTATACTTGTCCCAACTATGCCACGTCCATACTGTGCCGTGACCCCACTGTGCTACCGTTTTTTATTCTAGAGATCACTTTATTTTTCTGGTTTCCTACTTAATTTATGTACTCATTATACTTAACTTTAAACCTTATGGATCTTTTATGAAATATGAATTAACTCGGCCGCCGAGACTCTTAATCTCGGGGTCGTGGGTTCGAGCCCCACATTGGGCGCCAGATAACACGGCCGCCGGGGATTGACGGCCGGTTATAGAAAGTGTACCGGAAATCATGTGAAAAAAAGAGGCACGGTACGAGATTAGAACCCGCGACCCAAGGCGTCGTATAGACAAACCTTACCACTAGGCCACCGTGCACTTATGATTCAGATCCCGATACACTTTCATTTAGGTTGATAACGTGATGTGCGGCTGAGGGAAACACGGTACCGTGTCAGAATTTACCTTAATGATATCAGGACTAATGTTGAAAAAATGAATATACTTCAATTTTCTATGTAAAATCGTATTTGTCAAGCCACTTCTTGCATTCGTTTAAATTTCATAAGGTGAAGTAGTAGTGAGAGAGATTGACAGTTTTTATGCCCTTTTATATTAAATTTAATTCATATATCTATGCAATAAGTGTTACAGCCTCTTACTATTATCTGTTTACTACTCAATTATGTTATTTATTACATATTATTTTACTTAAAATAGATAATTTTTCATAACTAAAGAATTTCTTATAGTTATTACATTTGTATCAATGTATTTTTAGACATATTTCTCGGAATAGTTTAAAGTATTAACATTAATAATATATATCTAATTTAATGATTAATAGACAGTAATTTATAGACTACTGAATAATGAGTGATATTATAATAGTTAGTACGAATATTGTGGAAATTTTGAAAAAAACCGAATAAAATTATTATTAAAGAACACTTCACTTTGTTATAAACATCAGATGTAATCGTATATAAATACTCTTTAGTAAATTAATATTAACATGACACTACTGACAGTTATACAATATATTAACTCCGATGCTAATGTATTAATTTTACCATAATGTGTTCATTTTTTTTTGGTGTGTCATTCACTTTTTTCAGCTCTAACTGGACCAATTTTCTTAATACGTCAAAAAATCACAAGTCGTATCTAGTTGAAGACTTTACCATCAAAAATTGTTATTTATTCATATATAATAATTATAAATCAAATAACTAATCGGGATAAAATTAAGGGAATAAGAGTTATTGTTGTTTTTGAAATAATCTACCAATTTCTTAAAATTAAACACTATCTACAGATTTGCATCAAAGCGTTTCTTATGATAGTGGTTTTAATCACTGTCGGATCATTTATACTTGACCCAACTATGTCACATCCACACTGTGCTACAACCCAATTGTGTTAATGTTTTTTTTGTGTATGTCTATATATGCGATTACTTTTACTCCAAATGAATTGATTTTGCTCAATTGATACGTTAAAAGATCACAAATCGTATCTAATCGAAGACATTTCCTTCGTTCCCTTAAATGAGGAAAATCTCCAAAAAATTACAAATTTTTCATATTTTTACTTAAAACTGTCATAACTTATTGAAAAATAATTTAATAGAAACAATTTTTTTTAATAGACACATTAGATATTTACTTTTACCTACCCACAGTGATTCAATATGATAACTAATTCACAAAAAATTAACTTTTGAAAATATTCCGGAAATACTGACACTTTTATAAGTATATCTTAAATTAAAGCTTACGTAATATACTTTAATTTGAATAAAAATCTTGACCTCTGGACTTGTCTTTATGGTGAAAATGGTTAACCTATGCAATACTATGCTATTTTTGTGTGATAATTCTCGGTTTTGTATTTAATTTAATTTAATTTTAAAATATCTTACAAGGGGAGTACTCAAATTTTCATAAATATTAAATAAATCTAATTAACATAGCATAAAAAGTTAAACTTATTTATATTATTTTGCTTCTTTTAAGTTGAGAAAAATAACTTTAAAATTAGAACTAGCTTAAATTACTATTTTTTTCAGACGACGTATGTGACATACGGTTACCGAATCCGTAACACATATGTCTTAAGTGCTTGGGATTTAAGGTTCAAACCCGTTTGAGACTATGAATTATTTGCATTTTTTTCTTTACTCTTTTTGGATTAGAAAAATGCTTTGAACTACTTTGATTTTAATTTCAATTAGATTCAATAATTACAATAAAGATCAAGGATCCCATCACTATAATCAACCCTCGTGAGAAGAAATTTCTTATTTATATTAAAATTATTTTACTATGATTCTTTTATGACTATCATTCATTTTCTCAGCTTTCAATTGAACTATTTTTTTTAATGATACGTCAAATGATTACAATTCATATCTAGTTGAAGCTATTACCCTCAAAAATTGAAAAAGAAAATTCCATTTTATCAATTAAACAGTTACTTAGCTTATATTTACCATATAGATAATTATAATTATTAATTTCTAATTTTTAGCTTCGATGCGAAGTTGAGAAGGTATTGGTTTTACTATGATTTTATGTATTTTTTTTTGGTGTCTGTTACTACTTTTTCTCAGCTCTCACCGAATCGATTTCTTTTAACAATACGTCAAACATTACTCTCAAAAATTGAAAATTTTCCCTCGTTTCCCGTAAATGGGGGAAACCTCCAAAAAAATTACAAATTTAAAAATCGCTATATAATTTTTTTTTATAGATGCTTGATGTCTTTACCTATTATTTGGTATATATTTTTTATAAATCTGACCCTTTATCTGCCCACAGAGCGGATTTAAAATGACAACTTTTTCACAAAAAATTTACTTTTTCAACTTAACTTTTGAAAGTGTTCCGGAAAGTATGATCCTTTTATATATATCTTAAATTAAAGATAATGTAATGTACTTTATTATGGAAAAAAAAATTTTGGACTTTATTTTATCTTCATGGTGAAAACAGACATCAAAATTAATAAAAAAATACGATTTTTGTAAAAAATTCTTTTTTGTATTATTAACTTTATAATGCTATAACTTTTTGAAAAATGTATGGATCAATATAATTTTATTTTATTTTATAGTGCATGATGTCTTTACTTATCATTTGGTATATTTTTTTTATAAATTTGGCCCTTTACCAGCCTACAGGATGGAATTCAAAATGACTCGGAACTCCACTATGCTACCGTTTTTTTTTAATTGTGAAAAGGTGTAAATGCTGAAATAGAAACAATGAAAATTATTATTTTATAGTAAAGGGCCAACTTAACTAACTTTAAATAAAACTGACAATAATTTGAAACGTAATATAATTATTGTGTGTATTAAGTACAATTTATTATATTTAAGTAGTGTGCAGCGTACATTTGTTAGTTAAGTTTTACACATATACATATAAATTTATTTATTATATTAATAAATTATTCCTATCACCTGTTATCCTTATACAAAAAAAGAAATTAGAGGTTATTAGTTCTAACTCTAATAATTAAATATGACTAATGAAAGTTTTTTATATTGAATCTTTGCTATATCTTAATTATAAATATTATTATATAAAAATTTTAACAACATTATCATAATATTATAAAACATATTTTTATTATAAATATTTTTCCCCTTTTTAATTTGGGTTCTGTGTACTTGATTTGATTTACCATAGTTTTTTTTCTTTCGAATTGTTATTTATAAAATAATATTGTAATATTGAATACATTTTAGTAATTGTTATATTCATTTAAACTGTTATTTATGACCTTTCTCCCCTATGATAATGTACGAAATCTATAGTGTTGGGTTTTTGCTTTTGGCTTGCCTCGGCTTACGGTGGAATCTCCTTGGGTTTCTTGTTTAAGTTAGATAGATAAATTATGAGTTTAGATTACAAAGGTTTTAAATGCATATGAATGATTTCTAATTGGAAGTATCTAAAAAGTAGTTTCTTTATTATCATTCAGCTTTCACTGAGGTCCACAGAAGTAAAAATGAAAGAATGTTTTTATTAAAACATTTATACTTTCATTATTTAACAAATTATTTATTTTTATTTTATTCACAGTAAAAAAATTTTCTAATAAAATTCACGAAAATCTAAACAATGATTGAAGAATAAACGTATTGAATTGTTATAATAGAAATTTATCATATTCAATTTTTATTCTATAATAGTTTCCACAATACTGGTTTTTGGCTGCTTCGGTTTTAAGAAATTATTTATGTCATAAATATAATAATTTTATAAACTATAATTGTTATCATACGATAACGTATTTCAATGTAATAGTGCCACACTATTGTAATGTGACCCCTCTATATTCCATACATTTTATCATATCATATTCAGATTATTTAAAACATAATAATTATATTAATCAGAAAATTTAAGAGTTAAAAATTATTATATCATTTAAGTAATAGCATTCACACTTAAAATGACTGAAAAAATATGGAAAGTTCAATTTTGTTTTTTAGTAATATTATTTTATATTGATGCTTTTAAACTTGAAAAAATAAAGATTAAAAATGACAAACACTGGAAAGTAAACGTCATAAAAAATCATTTGAAAAAACACAAGTCATTAGAAGGAATAGTGAGGCTAGTAAATTCTAACAATGAAAACGAAGGTAAAATTAGTTTGTATATTTTTTTGGTTTATGTTATTTATTATTAGTACCCACAATCATTTTTTGGTCTTAATAAAAATCTCGTATAAAGAGATTTATAAATAGTGTGTTAAATGCAACATATAATTATAAAAAATAGTACAGTAATTTAGGATTAAACAATTTTTTTAATGACTTTAATTAAATATAAAAATTTGTTTTTACTAGAAATAAATATCTTTTAATTCATTAATTTATTCTCAGTTTAAATTTTTTTAATTTTTTAGAATCAGGAACTATTGATTCCCTGTCAAAAAATTGAACGTGAAACGTGCTTGCAACATAACTATTTATAAAATTAATACAGTAGTATAGCTAAACGTAAACAATATAAAACCGAATATATATTGACATTTATTATGAACATATTAAATTTATGAAATGAATAAAAATATTAACTCTTAGAATAAGTATAAACTAATACCGGAAACTGATTATAGTATCTATCTATAATTAAAATATTATATTTATATATTATATAATAACCGACCATCCTTTTTGTAATATTATTTAAAGCACGAGTTAAAAAACTTAATTGTAATAAATGTTATATATGTTTAGTAAATTAATTTTTAGCTTCAATGCAAAGCTAAAAAGATATTAATTTTACCATGATATGCTTATTTTTATTTTTCGTCTGTCACTACAGTGTAGAGCAAAAAGCTCTACACTGGACCGATATTTCTCAGAGATACATAAAAAAAACTCAAATTGTTCAAAAAATTCAAATCTAATTGAAGAAATTAACTTTAAAAATTAAAAAAAATTTTCGATTCCTGTAAATGAAGAAACTCTTCCGAAAAATTACAATTCTTAAAATAGTAAATTTGGACATTTTTAAATTTTTTTTTACTTAAATTTCCATAACCTATTGAAAAATAAACAAATTAAAATAATTTTTATTTATAAAAAAACCATACTTATTTCGCTTTTATTTCAATAAATTTTTTGATAATGTGACTTTAACTTTTTAAACTGTACTTTTGAAAATGTTCCTGAAATACTGCGGCTTTTAATCATATGTAAAATAAAACTTATATCACGTGCTATAATTATAAAAAAAAACCCAGCAAAAAAGGGGTTGTGGCATAGTGGGAACGTGACATTGTTGGGTCAAGTATAATGATATCTGACAATGACTAACACTATTATGAGAAACGCTTCTATGCAAATCTGTAGCAATGATTTTTAGACACAGGAAATGATTTTTACTAAATCGGCAATTGTACATCGCATTCATTTTTTAATAAATTGGCAATTTAAGCTGATTCAAATGTTAAAATTAATATTTTGCACTTAAAAGAAAAAAAATTTGAAATAAGTTTCACTTTAGGTTCTATATCAATTAGTATTATAAAATATTTATGAAATTCAGTGTACCCCATTATAAAGTATATTAAAATAAATAAAAATATAAAGCCCAAAATTTTAACACAAAAATAGCATATTTTTGAATATGATATATTTTATGATATTTAGTTCACTATATCACGAAATTTTTTTTTCATACTATATTATATTACATAAGAATTAATTTAAGATTAAATAAAAGTGTCAATATTTCCGGAAAATTTTCAATAATTGAGTGAAAAAAGTTTAACTAATAAAATTTTTAATCGTAAATTTTAACTACAAAATTGTATGTTTCTTAAATACAGCAACCATTTGCACATAGGAGATAAGTCGTCGGGACCAATTTTTTTTTTTAATTATAGTGCATAACATTATCTTTATTTTAACATATGTTTGAAGTTCGGAGTATTTCTGGATTATTTTCAAAACTTAAGTTGAAAAAATTAAATTTTTTTGCAAAAGTAGCTATTTTGAATTACCCCTGTGGGCAGATAATGGGTCAGATTTTCAAAAAAATGATATCAAATGAAAGGGAAATATCTAAGGTTTCAATATAAAAAAAATTATTTTAAATTATTCATTTTTTAAAAAGTTTTTAGAAAAATAAATGAAAAACCCCAGCACAATGGGGTCGCGGCACAGTGGGGACGTGGCATAGTTGGTTCAAGTATAATGATATCTGACAGTGATTAAAAGCATTATCATAAAAAGTGCTTCGATGTAAATCAGTAGATTGTGTTTAATATTAAAAAATTTGGTGGATCATTCCAAAAGCTACATGATCTCCTATATCCTTATTTATATCCTGATTACAAGTTTCATGATTTCTAAGTGTAATATATTTATAATATATAAATATATAAAGAGAAATGGTTTTATTTAAAAAATTGTATTGATCCATATATTTTTTTTAAGTCATTGCATTACTAAATTAAATGTATAAAAAAGAATTTTTTTACAAAAATATTATTTTTTTTATTATCTTTGATATCCGTTTTCATCAAAAAAACAAAATAAAGTCCGAAATTTTTTTTCCATAACGAAGTATATTACATAAGCTCTAATTTTAGATATATATAAAAATCACAGTATTTCCGGAAAACTTTCAAAATTAAGCTGATAAAGTTCTACTTTCTATATGCATTTTTAAGTTTTGAACCCCCACTGTATTAACGAAAAAGGCCCAATTTAATAAAAAAGTATGTCGAATGAAAGAAGTATATAATTATTATTTCTCATGAAAAAATTGTTTTGATACATATTGTAATACGTCGGTAGTGCCCCAACGTTTCTTCGACAAAACATCCAGTCCATTTATACTTTTCATGTTTTCCTTTTATATTCTTTTTCCCATCATTATTAATTTGCTTACCCTCCATTTTCACAGTGAAGACAAAATAAAGTTCGAATATTTTTTTCCATAATAAAGTATATTACATATGGTTTAATTTAAGATATATGTAGAAGTGTCAGTATTTCCAATACAATTTCAATAGTTAAGTTGAAAAAATTGTCATTTTGAATACCCTTCTTAGGGCAGGTAAAGGGTCAAATTTATTAAAAAATTATATTGATTTGGTTATTATTAAAAATTTCATGGCAATTTTAAGTAAAAAAAACCCAGCACAGTGGGGTCGTGGCATAGTTGGGTCCAGTATAGATGATATCTGACAGTGATTAAAATCACTATCATAAAAAAAGCTTCGATGCAAATCTGTAGATAGTGTTTAATTTAAAAAAAAAAAATTTGTCAATAAATTAGGTCAAATGAGAAAATAAATGATAGATACCAAAAAAAAAACCACATAGTAAAATAATCATAAATGAATTTCTTCTCACGAGAGGAGACTACCGTAATGGGATCCATGATATTTATTGAAGTTATTGAATCTAAATGAGATAAAAATCAAATGAGTTAAACATTTTTTTTAAATTTTTTTTAACACAAGTGTTACCGTCTCAAAAACCGTACGTCTCATTCGTCACTTAATAAAAATTGAAATTTAGCTAGTTCAAATTTTAAAGTTATTTTTTTCCACTTCAAAGAAACAAAAAAATTTAAATATGATTAATTTTTTATACTATGTCATTTAGATTGATATAATATTTATGAAAATCAGTGTAATCCCTTTATAATAAAATAAAATACAAAACCAAAAATTTTAACACAATAACATTATATTTTTAAATACGGTAGCTATTTTAACCATGTATTCTCCTAATAAGATATTTTAAAATAAATATCTAAGGTTTGAGTATAAAAAAACGGTAGCACAGTGGGGTCGAGGCACAGTGTGGACGAGGCATAGATGGGACAATTATAGATGATATCTGACAGTGATTAAAATCACTATCATAAGAAACGCTTCGATGCAAATCTGTAGATAGTGTTTCCTTTAGAGAAATTGGTGAAATATTTTAAAAGCAACATGAACTCTTATTTCTTTAATTATATCCTGATTAGTAGTTCTTTGATTTTAAAATATAATATATGAATAAATACTAATTATAGTTTTTAAATTTAGTATGAAATTGTGAGGCCAGCTATGATGTATGGTTCATAGTGTTGGGCGGTTGATAAGAAAGTAGAGCAGAGAATAAGTGTAGCAGAGATGAGAATGCTTAGTTGGATGAGTGGAGTGACTAGAGAAGATAGGATAAGGAACGAGCATATAAGAGGAAGTATAGGTGTTGCGTCAATCGTGGATAAGATGACAGAAAATAGACTTAGATTGTTTAGTCATGGTATGAGGAAAGAAGAATCGAAAGCTGTAAGAACAGTTATAGAAATGAATGTTGAAGGAAGAAGAGATAGAGGAAGACCAAAAAAGAGATGGAGGGATGCTATTGAATGCGATTTGAGGACAGCTGATGTGAGCGTAGAAGATGTGGGAGATCGTGTCAAGTGGAATCTTAGGATAAGGGTGCCCGACCCCAACTACTTGGGGTCGGGCAAAGAAAAAGAAAAATATTACCAGATATTCCGGTGGCAATTGACATAATATGATTGTTATTTCGGAATGTACAATTTAGCGTTTAGTTGGGTTTAAATAATATAGCGTCAAATCAATTACCTACTCTATCGGTTGTATCTCAATATACACTACACTTTAATGATACAATAAATAACTAAACTCACACATACACACATATGCATTTATAACATTGTGTCTAATGTAAGTATAACATGATAAAAAGTAACCGTAAAATGAAAAAAATGGAATATAAATTTTATTACTCATATTAAATGTAATGTAACTCGAAAAATATTTGTTTAAATGAAAAAATATAAGATTATATTTTTATTTATAATTGTCTTTTAAACAACTTTTGTGCGAAACTTTTTTTTGTAAGTTAAAT